TTATGACTTCTTTAAAACATTGTTTTTAGTTTTATTTAAGACCGTTAGCCATGTCTGACTCTGTTGCTGCTGTCATTTTCTGATTCTGTCCTCGTTAGAGCTCAAAACCTGCTCCAAGCGTCTGTGTTGCTCTTTCTGTCTCTGGCCCACGACATGAAAACAGCTCCCCACTCGACGTGACATGGCAGGTGTTAATTGTTTTTGACATGCTAACCATACAGTGGTTCCAGCATGCCTGCTTCGAGACCAATCTGGGACTTTTGTTGGAGTTCGTTCTCTCCTTTTCTTCTTGTCCACAGCTTTCGGCAGGTTTGCAACTTTCTAATTAGGGGAAAATACCAATTTACTTGGAAGAGCGGCGTCAGCAGACTACAAACTTTTTTACAGTTGCTTTTTGAGTAAATGGTTGGTGTTTCTTAGTTAAAGGTAGCCATTGGGTGGAGCATCACGTTTACTGCTTTGAAGGTAACCACAAGCCTTCGTGTTCACAGCTTGAAGCCTTTTTAGCTGGGCTTGTACAAAGCTGGTTCTGTAGGAAACAGGAGGCTGTCGTCTGTGTGGGAGACATCTGGAGACAGTAAACAGCAATACTCCCAAGCTTTCGATGTGGTGGTGTTAAGCCTCCTTTCAGTGAGAACTCATTTCAGTTATTCTGAACATGCCAGCTTCAGATGTGAATGAGCACCCCTGGTGGGTTTTATGTAAAACGTTGCATGGTATTGACTTCAGATGAGCTTAAGTCAGAACCCAGGCACATATAAATAATGTATGTAATGGCCATATTTGTATTTTGAAAATAAAAGGAACATGACCAAAGAGTATCAACTCCTTCTTCTGTCGCTTATTTGCAGTTGGGTCGTGGAGGCAACAGGTCCAGTAGAGAAACCCAAACATCCCTCTCCCCAGCGAAATTTTCCATCTCCTTCTGGAGGACCCTGAGTTGGTCCAAAGTCAGAGAAGATACACAATTCCTCCACTGAGTTCTAGGTCTGCCCTTAGGCCTCTTAGTGTGACCTGCTCTGAAAACCTCTAAAATGAGGCATCCAAGAGACATCCTAATTAAATGTCTGAACCACCTCAACTGATTCTTTTCGATGTGAAAGAGTAGCAACTCTCCCCCAGATGACAGAGCTCCTCACCCTATCTCCAAGGCCGAGCCTGGCCACCTCGGCCGTTTGTATCCAGGATCTCGTTCTTTCAGTTATTATCCAAAACCCTTGACCATAGGTGAAAGTTGGAACGTAGAAGGACCAGTAAATTGAGAGCTTTCCCTTTTGACTCAGTTCTTTCTTCACCACGACCAACTGAAGAAATGCCCTCATTACTGAGGACGAGACCTCAATCTGTCGATCCATCTCCCAGTCCATCCCACCATCACTTGTGAACAAGACACCCAGATACTTGGGCGTCTGAACTGTATCACTGTCCAAATTAGTGCCTCGACCATTATTAGGTGCTACACACAAGTGTTTTTCCACATAAACTCAACAAAAATAAAAAGGGAAAACCGTGCTGAATAATCCTTATCAAATTTTGATCTCATGAACTGTTATGGCGCAGTTGCTCCTTAATCTAAGTCCTCTTCCTCACAGAAACAGTTTTTCCAAAACAATTATTTTTATTTTTCGTACTTACAGATGTCCTTATAAACACAGCACCATTTCTAGAAACGCTTTCATTCACATAAAAAACACTAAAGCCAACTCGAAATATCTGTAGTAACTATGTCAGGCCTGTATGTGGTACAGTACTGCCACAAAAATACACTAAAAAACAGAAAACCAGGCATGGAGCATTGGAGGTAAGGCTAAGACACCTTGTGTTTTAGCAGTCTGTACCATAGACCTTATGTATCAGGTGTGAACAATTCTCATTTTGATTTTCTACTCAGATCTGATTTTTTGCGATTTGGTTGCTCGCATTATAATTTAAATGCGACTGCCATCAGCCTCCAGTGAGAACAGTCTAAGGTCCTGAAGTAACTGGCGTGCGCAGGTGAAGATATGACGTCACACGCTTTAAAAATTTTTAATGTAATCTTTATGTCAGTTTGTATACCTTACAGCTCGTAGAAGCTCATATTTAGGCTTAACCTTTATCGTTTGTTAGCGAAGTTGTACATATTTGTTTTGAGTTCATCTCCCTTCTGAGATCATTACATTTTACTGTATATTTTTTTCCAAACCTATTGTTTTTTTATCAGTTCAGGCATATAAATCATATAATTTGGGAAGTAAAAAACAAAACAAAAAAAAAACAACATTAATTGGTTTGAAATAGACTCTCTAACAATTTAAATGTCAAGTTAGAAATGCACTAAAAGTCCCACCCCATCTGTAAAAGTCAAGCATGCAGTGCAGGCACAACATAAACCTCCCACCAAAACACATAACTTTTAAACGTCCTGGTTTGTTGCACAGAGTATTTTTTGTTTTGTCTCTGGGAGATTGACAAAATTGATATTTTCAACCTCTCCCATTCACCCCTGACATGTTTACTACATGTTAAGCTAATGTGAGCTGTCCTTGCAGGACCCAGGTCTGAATGAAGCCCTGATGCACCAGTTCATTTGAACATACAGTATTTTACTGGATTATACTTCTACCCCACACTGAACACATGACGTTTTATCTCATAGTTAGAATAGTTTGCATTGCACTGAGCATGTTTTGTTTCCTGAAACTAAGCAGTGTGCAGGATCTTGGTGTTTTCTGGTTGTGTTTGGGTGTGGATACAGTAGCCACCGGCCCTCCACATGCTGCATTACACAACATGGCCAGATGTGCAGTTTTAAAAGGCACGTGACTCCTAATGAGACACTCAAAGTCTTTTTTATTTCAGAAGCATTTTACCTCTTTAACATTTATAGCAGCTAGTTCTTCCGGGGTGGGTTCAGTTTGAGCAGATTAAATTCACTAAATGTGTATCGAATTTATTTAAGAGCAAAAATTGATTTATTGTGGATAAATTAAAATCAGCTAACAATAAAAAAAAAATGTGTGTACTTGGCAGAAATCCCAGTAATGCAGGGAGATTTCATTGCTTTTTAAAGTGTTATTGTGACTATTCAGCTGATTTGAAGTACATTTTTTGAGTAGTTAAAGCACATTTGATTTCAAACTTAATGGCGGTGCATGGCACGTTTGTTGTAAAATATATTTTAACTAGCATGTGTCCGCAAAAGAACACTTTCCTGTTATTTCAAGATAATGTTGAGTAGTTCTTAATGTCTTACATTAGAATAATAGTGTGGTGCCATTATGGAAAATCACTGAATGACTTTGTTTTAGGTAACCTTACATTTATTTATAAGAATACATGCCACATTCATAAAAAATAAATGGATGGACGAGTTTGTTAATGCACATTTGGCAGAATGGAAGAGATTAAATGAAATATCCAACTTTTCTTCTAATTATTCAAAATATAACCCGCTTCCTTCTCATGCAAATCTGCTCTTTATGTAAAATACCCTGTCATCTTTGTCATTTTCTTCTTAGTTTATTTAATATACTCATAACCACATGATAAAATGAAACTAAACTAAAATTTCTTTAAGAGAAATGTTTATTTTGAGTGTTTTTAGACACTAAATTTAGAGAATTGCTCCTGTATTCTATTTGCTGTTCGTGTATTTATTTATTTATTTAATTTAGGTGTTGCATTTTAAACGTGTTGCACATTTCTGTTTGTTTGGAGGAAGGTTTGCTCGTCTAGAACAAATTAAAGGCTACAGCAGAGGACTGTTGTGTGGCATCTGTATTTGTACTATAAAAACACGTCTATTATTTATTCTGTGTGTGGCAAAGAGAGACAAATTGGGAGACAAAGGACAAACAGTTTTTTCTTTTTTGGTAAAAACGCTGAATTCTTGTGAATTACTGTCGGTTTTGAAGGGGAAAGCTATTTTAGTCTTTAAAAAAATGCCTAGCTGAGTGTTTATCATGGCAGATTACTCATGTTTTGGCTCATTTTCTTTTTTTACTTAGACATAGATCAAAGCAGCAAGTTGCAGAAAGCTTTAGGTGAACATTTAACCAACTTTTCCCTTCCTTACTACTTCTGATACTACTAATCTTCTCAAATGTTAGTTTGATGTCCAACTTATTTTAATGCTTCTGTGTGGATGACAACTTCAACTGAACGTATTCATTTTAAGTGTTTTTGTGGTCAAAAGGTAGTGTGGGCAAATCAATACATCAGAAACACCAGGTTGGAATTTCATCTCTACTGACATATGTTAATTTTGTCAAAACTAATTAAATGTTTAATATTCAGAAATCAAGTTGACTTTATAAAACACACTTTTAGCAGTACTTCAGTTAAAGCTATAAAATGTTGAAGGCCAAGCCTGGCCATGCACAGTACTTCTGGTTCATCTTTTTCTAAAAAATAAATAAGTGTCTGGAGGCAGAAGAGGCAATTTAATTTACTTTTCTGGGTTTGGTGCAAAAGGTTTTGATTAATTAATCACTTTTTATACAATTTACTGCCTAAACATGCTGGTCAGGGAAGACATATGTTTTTTTTTTTTTTTTTTATTAAAACTTGTCTTTACATAGTTTTAATACTGTCTTCTTACCAACAAAGTCCATACTCAATAATCCAGGTATACAATCCAACAATTTTCAGTCAGGTCGAAGAGACCATCTTAGCACCAACGTAACTGGTTTGTTTCACTTTGGAGTAAGCTGTTGGGGGAAGAATCAGTTGTGTTGTGTGTTTCCTTGACTGATGAAGCCTTCTGGATGGAAGGTGAAACGTTTCCGCACAACAACAAAAAAACTGACAAGATTACCTGACTGAAAATTGTTGGACGTGTCTTCTTACCATTTGTTCTTTGTGTATTTTGCTTCAGATTTGGTTTAAGAGACTGATTAATTTTAGTAACTGATAATGAGTTTTGCTGTTGGGATCCAAAGCTAAATGTTCTTTCCCCTCTCTACAGGGGAGTAACAGAAGGTGTATGCTGCCTCTCGCTGTACTCGTCCTGCCACCACCATGAGCTGGAGCTTCTTGACACGCTTACTAGAGGAAATTCACAATCATTCCACATTTGTGGGCAAGATCTGGCTCACCGTCCTCCTCGTTTTCCGCATCGTTCTGACAGCCGTGGGCGGCGAATCCATCTACTACGACGAGCAGAGTAAGTTTGTCTGCAACTCTGGCCAGCCGGGCTGCGAGAACGTCTGCTACGACGCCTTCGCTCCACTCTCACATGTCCGCTTCTGGGTCTTCCAAACCATCCTGGTGGCGACGCCGTCGCTCATGTACCTGGGCTACGCTGTCAACAAGATTGCTCGAGCGGAGGAGCAGGCAGACAGCGGGGGGTTGAGCAGATATTCATGCAAGAAACCCAAGAAGTCTTATCTTGCAGGCAGAAAGCAGCAGAGGGGTGTTGAAGAGGCTGAGGATGACAACGAAGAAGATCCAATGATCTATGAAGTGGCAGAGGGGGAGAGTGATGCTGGTGGAATGGCAAAGGGGGACAGTAGTGAGAAACAAGTGAAAGTCAAGGTTCGGCACGATGGGCGCCAGCGTATTAAAGCAGACGGACTGATGCGCATTTATGTCATCCAGCTGTTGGCCCGTTCGGTTCTAGAAGTGACTTTTTTATGTGGACAGTACGTGCTGTATGGATTTGGTGTCCCTGCCAGATACATGTGCTCAAAAGTGCCCTGCCCTCACAGCGTGGACTGCTTCGTGTCACGGCCAACCGAGAAAACGATCTTTCTTCTCATCATGTACATCGTCTCGCTGCTCTGTCTGGCTCTCAACATATGGGAGATGCTTCACCTGGGTGTCGGTACCATCTGTGAGATCGTGCGCTCCCGCCGGCTGCGGCTCCCTGACGACGAGCTGTACGGACTCACAAGGAGAAACGAAGCTCTGAGTGGCGACGATTACAGCAGCTACCCCTTTACCTGGAACGCACCGTCGGCCCCACCAGGGTACAACATCGCCGTCAAGCCGCTTTTAATGTCTAAAGGGAACCACAATCCACCTCTACCCATCAGCGATCTCACGAATGCCAAGATCACGTGTCGACAGAACCACGTGAACATCGCCCAAGAGGAACGCCAGCAGTACACCAATAATGATGAAAACCTGTGCAGCGCTGAGAGGGGAGATGCTTCCAGAAATGCTCAGAAGGACTTGAGTCAGAGTCAGAACAAGCTGAAGGCTGATAACCAGGCTCACAGCCAGCTGCAGAGCCACGTTAACAACCACAGCAGGCCTAACCGTGAACGTAAACACCGGCACACCTCCAGACACGCCTGCAGCAAGGCAGACACAGACAGGGGCAGCAGCAGCAGCAGTAAATACGGTGTGATTAAGGGTTCTGAGTGGATCTGAAGCACAGATTCTTCTGCAAAAGCTGTTCTCACAGAAAATTCACATTTCTGCATCTATACAACAGACAACAGGGAAACCACTTTACATTAATGTCATTTGAGCAATAAATATAAAACGCAGTCGTGCTAATTTTCCACTCTGAACCCACAGGAAGTTATAAATATCAAATTTAATACAGCTACTTCACAGTAATTGAATCGGCTCCTAACCTGAACTAAAGTTTACACAAATAAGTTGTCTTAAATTAAAGACAGCTTTCCTTCTCAGGGAGATATTTAAAGTACCCACATCTACTAGTTCTAGTTATAAGTACTGGCTAATATTTTGAAAATTAACATCACACTTTTAGTGTTCTACGGTGAAAAGACAGCTGCAAATAAAGTGATTGTATTGTAAATAAAGTGATAGTTTAGTTCAAAGTTAAGTTCGCAAACCATTTGTAGCTTTTTAGAGCGAAATGAAGTTTGGTGTGGCTTATTCCTTTAAGACTGATGCCTGTTTTTTATGTGAAGAAATATGGATTTTTTTGTTGTTGTTGTTAAAAGGTCTTAATTCTGCAGTTTTAAGTGCCTTGTTTAAGAACGACTTCACAAAGACTCTTTATTACCAATTTAACTTTTATATGAGCTCTCTTTATCATTGTGGATGGGTCTAAATGTCTATTTTAAATGCTCCTCTCCTATCAACTATTTTTTTATTATTTTTTCTAAGCCATCTTTTTATAGATTTAATATTTTTGGTGCCACAAAGTTAAAAAAGATGGCATGATTCAGTGGTTAATTGTTTTTTTGTCTTTCTATATCTGCACATTTGTTTGTAATTCAATGCATTTAATGACCAGGCCTTGTTCTAATTAAATTGTGCATGAAAATATAATTTACTTTAATTTGGTTTAAACTGGTTTAACATTGTTACGTTGGAGCGTCCACCATATTGGATGTGGCAGATCTGTCGGTCAACTAATACGAGGAAATGAACTGAGCTTCATAAATCACAGTTTCATGTAACTTACATGAAACTTGTATTGTTTCTTGCCTGGTATTAAGTTACTTAAATTACTTTTAAACATACAAGCCATTCAGGCTACTTGGTTGCAATTCACTTTCTGTGTTTAGTTTTGTAGCACATTTTTTAAAGTGAAAAGTGCAAAAATAAAAGTTTTATATTTCTCTTATAATTTTGTATTTTGTGATACCGTATGCAGTTGGGAATAATCAATCAAATGAGACTGGTTTAATTGTCTCAGTTTACTTCTTTATGGTAGAATCTAGCTCAGTGACAGTATTTATCAAAAGATTACTCTCTTCAGGCGGCATGGTGGCACAGCTGGAAGAGCTGCCGCCTCTCAGCGACCAGGTCATCTTGACTCAATTCCTGGCCGGGGGCCTTTCTGGATAGAGTTTGCATGTTCTCTCCGTGCATGCGTGGGTTTTCTCTGGGTATTCCGGTTTCCTCCCATAGACCAAAAACATGCATGTCCCATAGGTGTGAGTGAGAGTGAGTGGTTGTTTGTCTCGTTTGTCTCTATGTGATGGACTTGTGACCTGTCCAGGGCGTCCCCCGCTTCTTGCACAGTGATGGCTGGACATGGGCACCAGTGACCTCCGCGACCCGGAAACGAAGAAGCAGGTAAAAGATAATGGATGAAAGGATGAAAGGATTACTTTCTTCTGGAAAACAGTGGGAAAAAATATTTAGAAGGATGACGTCAGAGATTAATTGTTGTTTCTCACTCATTCCACTATTTTTCTATTGAATATTTATTATACATCAAGTACTAACCTATTTAGGCACCCATTAAAATAACTAGAATTAGTGTAGATTTTACTGTACAGTATTACCTTTCCGAGCTTAATTTGGACTTCAAAGTTCATGCTCAATCGTCCAAGTGCAAAATCCAATTTACATGGGACTCCTCAGACTGAAGCCCTCCGGATAGAGGGCGAAACGTCTTTCCACAAAATAGAAACTGTCCAGATGACCTGATTGACCATTATTGGATTTTGTACCTGGATGATTGAGCATGAACTTTGATGTCTTGAACCACTTTGGCTGTTCTGGCTACCTGCCTGGGAGGAGTCGACCGGGGACAAGACAGCCCCTAGAAGCCATCTTATCACCAGCAAACTGGTTGGTCCACTAAAGGAGTGCACTGCTTAGTGGAGAAAACAGTTTACTTGGGACTCCTCAGTCTGATAAAGCCCTCCAGATAGAGTGCGAAATGTCTTTCCACAATTCAATTCAGTTTTATTTATATAGCGCCAAATCACAACAAAGTTGTCTCAGGGCACTTTACAGGAACATTCACATTACATAAAAGCCAATTAGTAAAGTTCTCTAAGCAATCCAGCAGACATGTTGAATCTTCGCTTTGTTGCAGTCTCCCATCCTGAGCAAGCACAGTGGCAACAGTGGAAAGAAAAAACTCCCTTTTTAAAAGGAAGAAACCTCCAGCAGAACCAGGCTCAGGACAAGTGGCCATCTGCTTTGACCGGCTGGTTGAGAGGACAGGAAGGAGAGACAGACGAACATAGAATGGTAGGTCCAGATACAGGTCCAGGTGTACCTGAAAGACAAAAAAAAAAAAACACATGTTAAGGATAGAAAAAAATATTACAAATACAAAACAGGTTGAGCAGAGTAAGTAAAGACAGTAGCAGAGTGAAAAGTGTGGTCAGTTTGTCCTCCAGCAGTTTAAGCCTATAGCAGCATAACTAAGGGACAGCTCAGGAAACCCAAGCCGACCCTAACTATAGGATTTAGCAAAAAGGAAAGTCTTAAGCCCAGTTTTAAAACTAGATAATGTGTCAGCCTCACGGACAGAGGTTCCACAAGAGAGGAGCCTGATAACTGAAAGATCTGGAAAATATGGAACAATAAGATCTGTAATATAAGATGGAGCCAGGTTGTTGAGAGCTTTGTAGGTTAGAAGTAAGATTTTGAATTATATTCTGGATTTGACAGGGAGCCAATGGAGAGAAGCTAAAACTGGAGAAATATGATCTCTCCTACTAACTCCAGTTAAGACTCTGGCAGCAGTATTTTGGATCAACTGAAGACGTTTTAAAGAAGTATTTGGACATCCAGATAATAAACCATTGCAATAGTCCAGTCTAGCTGTGACAAATGCATGGACCAGTTTTTCTGCATCATTTTTAGATAAGATGTTTCTAATTTTAGCGATATTACGCAGGTGGAAGAAGGCAGTTCTAGTAACGTTTTTAATGTGGGGGACATGTCCTGATCAAAAATAACACCAAGATTTTTAGCATTAGAGCTGGAGGACAGATTAATGCCATCTAAGGAGGGAGAAAGACTGAAAAATTCATTCTTAAAGTGCTCAGGTCCAAAAACCAAAATCTCAGTCTTGTCTGTATTCAACAGGAGAAAATTAAGGGTCATCCAGGTTTTTATGTCTTTAAGACATGCTTGTAGTCTAAGTAGCTGATTGGATTGATTGGGTTTAATGGACAAATATAACTGTGTGTTATCAGCATAACAATGAAAATTTATCCCATGCTGTTTAATAATTTTACCTAATGGAAGCATATATAAAGTAAAGAGTATTGTCCCAAACACTGAGCCCTGAGGAACTCCATGAATAACTTTGGTGTATGAAGAAGATTTATTATTTACATTTACAAACTGGAATCTATCAGATAGATATCCATCTATCCATTATCTTTACCCGTTTATTCCGTTTTGGGTCACGGGGGTCACCGGTGCCCATGTCCAGCAATCACTCTGCGAGGGGCGGGGTACACCCTGGACGGGTCGCAAGTCCATCACAGGGCCACATAGAGACAAACGAGACAAACAACCATTCACTCTCTCACTCACACCTAGGGACAATTTAGAGTTACCAATCAGCCTAACATGCATGTTTTTGGTCTGTGGGAGGAAACCAGAGCACCCGGAGAAAACCCACGCATGCACGGAGAGAACATGCAAACTCCACCCAGAAAGGCCCCTGGACCGGGGTTTGAATCAAGAACCTGCTCGCTGAGAGGCAGCAGCTCTACCAGTTGCGCCACCGTGCTGCCCAGATAGATATGATTTAAACCATTTTAGAGCTGTTCCTGTAATCCCAATATCATATTCAAGCCTCTGTAGTAAAATATTGTGATCAACTGCATCAAATGCAGCACTGAGGTCTAACAGGACCAATGTAGACACAAGTCCACTGTGTGAAGCCATGAGAATATCATTAGTTACTTTTACTAGTGCTGTTTCTGTGCTATGATAAGCTCTAAACCCTGACTGAAACTCTTCAAACAGATTATTTCTTTGTAGATGTTCACGCAACTATTTTCTCTAGAATTTTTGAGATGAAAGTTAGATTAGATATAGGTCTATAGTTGGCCAGAATTTCTGAATCAAGGTCAGATTTCTTAAGTAAAGGTTTAATTACAGCAACCTTAAAGCTCTGTGTTACATAACCATCCATTAAAGACAAATTAAGTAGATCCAAAATGTGGACATTAATTAGGGGAAATACCTCAAAAAAGAAACTGTCCTGATGACCTGATTGATCATTATTTTATTAATTTGGACTTGCTTTTTATAGTTCAGTGTTTGTTTCTTTTGTAATAATTGGAAATGAGCAAAACTGACAATAATACAAATTAACACACAAAATAGAAAATAAAAAAGTGAACTAAGACTGATCAACTGATAACAGGTGAGTCTTTTTTTAATTTACGTACTGTAACATGTCGAGATTGGATTTAATCCAGCTCTGATGTTTTTTAATGACAAGGTTTTGCTTTGCTTTTAAATATTTGAACATTTATTTCTAAATGAGCTTATGAAGATTTAAGAAAAGCTGGCTAAGACCATTAAATACAATGGCTCAGTCTGTTTTAACACCTGAAGTGCTGTGTTTAGGATACGGTGACTACATTTTTAACTCACTATTAAATGAAGGCCATCAACTTTAAAATATGTTTCAGAAAAACTTAATAGTTTGTAAACCACCAGTTTATACTAAGCACTAATTCAGTTCTTATTCATTTAAATGTCTAACTTCAAACATCGTGTGAATATTAGAAAATAACGAAAGCTTTGTGTGAATTTTGTGAGGCAACTGAAGGCAGCGCGAAACCGGTGTTGCGCCAAGGTAAGTATCCCCGAGAACTGGTCCCCATGTCTCGAGAGCGAGCTCAAAGCGGATCCAAAATGACTACGCATCGACAAATAAAAGCAAGAGTATATATTTTTCAGGTTTACTTGGAACACCCAGAAATAAAGTGGATAGAAGCAGACATTTGAATTCACTTTTCCTGCATTGCGCGTGCTCTTGAGACGGGTAATCGCAAGGATACTAATAATGGCGCAACACCGGAAGTGACACCCTAAGTGTTTTTGAAAATGCGGCGGCTTTGTGTTTTCGTCGCTTTCTGATGAGTCGCAAATGATAAGTTTCCTCTATTGAAGTGTTTTTGCACAATAGTTAAACGTAAGTAAACAAGTGTAACTATTTCCCCCGGTGATATTTATTTAAAAAAGGGTTTAATTGAATGTTCTGTAGCTCAGCGGCTGTCAAGTTTGGGAGGAAAGCTAACTAGCTCAGGTTAGCTAAAGCTCACGAGTTTGCGTTGTTGTTGACTCTTAATTATGCAACTAAATGAGATAGCAACAACTTTTTTATTCTGTGATTTGTTCTGTTTGAAAGTTTCAAAGTGTTATACAACTGATAGGATGATGAAAACCGGTCCAAGTTTAAGGAAAACGTGACTTCAATTATGTGTTGTAACAGGCTAGCTGACATATACTGGTACATAAAGACATAAACAAAGAGGGCGAGAGAAGTGAATGTGATTCCTTAATACGTTTAGAGTGTGCCAAAAATAAATGACAAACGTTGGTTTGTCAAATGGTTTTCAAATTAAGTAAAACATTAATACTTTTGTTGAAGTGTGTATTCTTGCATCTCTCAGCAAACCTTGCACAACATAGCTGACAGTTGGATTTCCTATGTGGTCAAGATTGCTCTTGTTTATGTTAAACCTAAGCCTGATAGCTGCTGCAGCTGACAAGGCATGATTGTTGGGTTTCTGTCAGAAGGTTGCTGGTTATTACTTTAATATCTTTAGTTTATTTGTTGAATGCTACTTGTTGAATTGAAGGGTGCTTAACAAGCTAAAGATCTCCACTGAAGTGTGTGCCCGGTTCTACAGACAGAGCCGCTATCGAGAACATCCTCCTCTTCCATTTCAGTGTTTTACCCTGGCTCCACTGTTCACACTAAACATCACCTTGATCACATCATGAAGCTGGGCAGTGACAGGAAAACACCTACATGGTGGATCTGCACACTTCCAGGGTCATGAGCCAAGCTTGGCAGATGACAGAAGACTCAAGTCACCCTGCACAAGAACTTTTTAAACAATTGCCTTCTGGGTGAAGGTTCTGCACTGTCAGAACAAAAACCAGCAGACACGAAAATATTGTTTCTTCCCCCACTGCTGCCTTCTTTCTTATAATAACTTTTCTTTTTCCTTCTCCTGCATTTCAATAAGGAAATATTCCTTTGTGCAAATCGCTGTAGATTTGGTGAAATACCAGTAAACGTGATTGATTGAATTGTCCTCATAACACATTCCTCCAACCCCCGAAGTGTTGCTTTAGATAGGAGTCTTGTGAATTATGTCAATACACTGTATGCATATGTTTGTTATCCTGATCAGCTTTGGCTGACTAGCTAAAGTATTTTTTTGTCTTTAACGAAAATAACAATTTTCTTGATTTTGCTTGAGTTAAAAAAAATTGTTGCAGTTTGAAATGTGCCAGTGTAAAATACCTCAAAATACACATTGATAAAACATAGTCAATTCTTTAAAATAACTTTTTAGTGAGAGTAACAACAGGAGAATGCAATTTATTATTTCCATCCATGATTTTTCAAGTGCAGGTTATGTACTGTTTACAGCTTTTTTGCTTCTTGCGTCATATTGCCTTTTGTTCAATCCTTCATTGAGTGTGTATTTCTTTCATGTAGAGTCCCTGTGTTTTGCTGTGAGCTCCTTTACTGAGCTAGAGTCATGCAGTCACCACAGTATTCAAAGGAACGAGGACTTCTTGGCAGACTGTGTGTCGGAGAGAAGAAACTAGAGGGGAAGATCTTCTACCTGGACAATGTGAAGAAGCGCTCAACAATACTTCTTTTAGAGGTCATATCTCTTCTGGGAGGGGTAAGTGTGCATGAATGTGGCATTAAAATTAATCCAACAGGAAATAAATGCAACAGTTGTGGTTGTGACTGATACAAGTTTTCATTTGGGTATAACAAAACTTACCTAATGTATGCAATAATTACACTAAAATACTTAAAGTTAGGTTGCGTAAAATTAAGTTTAGTTTTTACGTGAACAACGCCATTCAGCAGAAACTGTTTTTTATTCATTTATTTTTCTTCTGAAGAGGATTGAGAGCTTCCTGCACAAAGATGTGAACTTTGTTGTGACTGGAAGCCAAGATGTCCTCAAGGAGGAGACATGTTTGGTGGTTGCCAAAGGAGATGCAAAAGGTACAAGTGAAGGCACCCAAGAGTCTAAAAGGAAGCAGGAGAGTGACCCCAGGAACGACAAGCAGAGACCAGGAACTCCTAGACCAATGGTACTGAGACACTAACATGTTACAAAAATCTTTTTATCACTACATTTCCTGTTTTGAAACAGTTGTCTACTAAAAAAATATAAAGTGTGAGCTGTGTGATAGTGTAGAAAAATGAATGGCATTGGTGTCATCATTTGTTTTGAGGACTGCATTTGTTTATCAGATGAGCATAAAATAATGAAACACAATATAAATTTTGTTCTCGCTGTTTAGTCCCAAAGAGTTTTGTAAATATTGCTAAAAGTAATTTTTCATTCAACCTTTATTTAGACAGATAAATCCCATTGAGCCTCAAGGACTCATTTATAAGAGAGACCTGATTTCAACAAAGAATGATGACAACAGCGACAACAATAGACAGTTATAAAAAAAAAATACAGATTTATTTATTTTTTGTAGTAATAATGCAAATTATAATGTCATTCTTGTTCTTATGATCAACATATTTGCACAGTATCCCACTGGATTTTATTATTGTTCAGGTTCACTCTGTATCTGATATGCTTTTGTCCCTCAAGGCTTGTGGCAGTCGGGGGAAGGCTCTTCTTGAAAAAGCAATCGGCAACAAAGTAAGTCGGAGCAGCTTAAGAACGAACGCTTTCTTTATAAAGTTGTGCTCTCTGATTCACAAACGTGTTGACTTTCGTCCGGTACTTGTTACAGGAGCGTCTTCAGAGGAGCAGTCTATTGTCTAACGCTCGATCGTGGGGCGTGAAAATACTTCATGCGGACGGTATCCTTCTGATCATTGTCCAGCAGAATTACAGCGCCAGAGACCTGCAGTTGGCCTGTTCTCACAGTAGATGGCATCATCTTATACTGTATTTTACAGTTCAGTCTGTTTTCTGGGTTCAGATGTTCCTGATGTTCCTCTGTAGAAAGACTGGTTACACATGAAAGCTTAAATTGGACCCCCTGAACTTGAAATATTAAATTTTTTTCCCACTATTGTGTGACTGATCCTTAATTTGATGTCAAGATGTCCTCTTCTATCTGAAGCAGTTGACTCGAGAGAGTTTCAGCGCTAAACACAAGAAAGCAGAGGTAAGAGCTTCAATTGGTTGTCTTTATTTTTTTATTTAGTTTGTTTTTGGACAGCTTTAAGGAAGAAAAAGAATGTAATTTGAGTAAACTCAAACTGAGCTGGAGAAAACGAATGTCTTCGCTCAAACTTTATTTTATTCAACGCTCATAATTGCCTCTAAATGGAGTGTAACGAACTTCAACAAGATCTGCAGTAATGTATTTGGAATTTTGCGACTAAATATCGTTGTTGTTTTTGTTATTTTTGCAGAAGACATCCACTAAACAAAGTTTTTCTGCTGTAAAAGGTTAGTGTTAGCTTTTTATTGCACAAAATGCTAATTTGTAATTTAGGTGTAATCGTTTGCCTGATTGTGCCTGTGTGTCTTTTCACAGCTGCAGCTCTAAGATCTCCGTTTCTTAAAATTGAAGACATAAGCCGGTGAGTTTCATCTGTCCTTGACCTCATTTCTCTCTACAAATACACCTATTTATAGAGTATAAAGTTTATTTCTAACTTGAAAATCCTTAAAAACCTTCTTTGGGAAATTCTTATCAGATTAAAGTCTGATATTTTGATATCACAGTAACGGGTGGTAGAAATGTGCTTTTCTTTTTCTGGCCTTACTGCTCTGCAAAGATCTGGTTTTGGAGGTGTGCGTTTCAGTTCATGTGATATTTTTAATTAAGCTCGTTAGGAAGTCCTAACTCGTAATGCAACAAGCAGTTGAGTGGATCTGCTCCCCAGGAGCCCAGAGCTCGAGCGTATTTGATTTCTTGTAGATGAGGCTTTGCACGCTCCGCTGCCTGTTCCTGCAAGGGACGTGTGTGAACATATCCTTCTCATTAAGTAAGTGAAGGGCTCAGGCTAATGTCTGCATAGCGATAGTGAACCCGTGGCATCTGGAAGCCCAGCTGGGGCCTGACGAGATATCTCACACAAACCTTTTCTGCTCCTGCTGATAGCTCTGATGACTAAAGAAGTTGAGTCAAGACTCAGAGTTTAAGCATTGTGATGTTTTTGTCCTAATTCTTTAAAATATAACTCAAATCTTGTTTGTGTTTTGTTTTTGTTTTGCTTTTCCTCATAACCAGGAAATACAAGCCTCTGCACATGCAGTCTATGACCTTCCCTGTGTTGTGCTACTCTGGTCGATTTAGTCCTTTTGAATCTCCTCCTCCTCCTTGCTTTGACAAACAAACGGGGCAAAGCAACAGTAAAAAAAGGTTTGTTCACATGTGATTAACTGTTTAATAGAGACTATTAAAGAAAGCTTGTTTATTGCTTTAAAAAGTCTCTAATGTCAACATTTTATTAATATGTGAACAGGGAAAAGAAAGTTGAAAACAGCCTCCAGGATAAATCTCAAATCCCGCTCACCTGTAACCCATCGCCTTGGCGGCCACGGAAAAAGGACTCGTCTTACTGTGAATGTTGTCATCAAACCTTCACTAATCTGGAGGAGGTGGGAGTCTTGGAGACTTTTGTCCATTGTTTGTTTGTTTCCCCTCACCATTCAGTGTTATCTCCTCTTCATCTTTGTAGCACTTACAGTCAGACGAGCACCGCTCGTTTGTTCTCGACCCCTCCAGCTACAGAGTTGTGGATGAGCTTGTGGATGAAATGCTGCCAGGGTTTGACCCAGATCCATTTCAGCAAACAGAACAAAGGTGAACTTTGATAGTTATTATTATCGTCCCAGTGTTGCACATTTGTATCTTTACTAAACCAGTGTTTTGTGTGCTTTTGAACAATCTCTTATCCATTTATTTGCCTTTTCCAGACCACCAACTCCTCTCTCCATCCATGTGGACTGTGAACTGGAGCCTTTGACTGACGTTGAAATGGAGCACACAGTTCAGGTCCTACTTAAAGATGAGCCATCCTTCCATACTCACATTTCTAGTCCTACTCGAAGTCTACATTCTTCTAGTCCTGCCGGACCATCACTAGAAGTTAATTTTGCCATCCTAAACCCAGTCACTCCACCGTTTGACCCACAGTCTTTTAACACTGAGACAAACCACGAGCCCTCTGATGTTCAGCCTCTCGCTTTGAGCCCAGCCATGCCGGAACTGACTGTTGAACCGCTCGACCAACAACCTGAAACTGTCCCCCCATGTCTCAGTGCTTTGTGTCCTCTCACTGACCCCTACTCCCTGCCTCCGGTTCTCAGTCCTCAAGTCCCCTATTCCACCAGCATTATGGATCCACAAAGTCCATACCCAGATCCTCCTATTCTCACTCCTCAAAAGTATACCAGAGAGGAGATTATGGAAGGCTCCATGTGTGAAACAAACCCTGTGGACTGTGGGTCAACAGTTCCCCTATTAACCCTGCTTCAAACCTTTGGGACAGATTTAGAAGAAGAGAGGGAATCTAACCCTTTAGAATGCACTTCTCTGTCGTCACTTAGCTCTCATTCACTCCCTCTGCCGTCAGTTGTAGCATCAAGCCCCAAAAAGCGCTTTAGGTCGGCCAGCCCTGAACACAGGAACAATAAAAGGAGAAGGACCGCAGTAACTGGGGAAAGCATTAACACTTTAGAACCAACATATGTAAATATGCTCGCATCATCTTCTCCGTGCTTTGCGTCCTGCTCCACATTTCCTCCGTCTGCTGTTCAGACTTTCACTCTGTCACCAACTCAAATGAACTCCGCTCCCAATCTTGATGGCGACAAAGACCAATATGTGATTTCCAGTCATGACCCTCCGTGTTCCCACGCTGCCTCGGTGCGCATCGAGCCGGCACTTATCCCAGACCTGGCCACCATCTCCTCAACGTCGTCCGACTCGGACTGGGACTGCGACCTGCTGTCACGGCTGGGTCCGACCTCGGCTACAACTTTGACGCCCGGCGAGCTACAGAACCGCGAGCTCGACAAAGAGCTGCTCCACAGGTCGTGTCCCTGGATTCACGACAACGGCTACGACTCGCATCTGCACAACGTCCTGCAGGCGTCGACCCCGGCTGCATTGCTGTGCGCGGAGGATGCGGACCCTCAGCCATTTTCCAGAACTATGGTACAGATTGTTGAGGTTCTACACTGAAATCTTTTTGAAAAGTGGAAGGAAACGGAGGGAAGGGCAGCTTCTCAGATCATTGCAATGTGTTCACTGAATAAATATTAAAACTTTAGTACTTTACATATTAGCTGTTTTTACAGATGCGGCTTCATGGTTTCTATATTTTTTATGTCGATAGTTTACGAGTATTTTTTCTTTTAACTTATTTTCTTTGTGCATAGACCTTGTAGCTGTACGTTTTTCTGACCGCACTCGTTCAGCAGCTCTGTCCGGGAACAAGCGGCGGTACTGAGAATTTAATGAGGACTTTCTGAAAGCGCGGGCATTACTCAATTACTCTAAGTGCTGCTCCTGGATCAGATCCCACATGAGATGCTGTTGATGGTCGGACAGGCGAGGCGTTCATAGAGGAGTGACGGCTCGCGACACGAACACTCTGATTAATGTCAAATGGCTTTTCCTGCCTTTTTGAAGATGGGCCAAAATGGCATTTGTGAAGGAGGGTCAAGAGTTTCACAGCTCAAAGCTTTACCTGTGCTAGAGTGTTTAATCGGATTAGATGCATCTCAGCTATCAAACCTCAGTGTTTTAAAATAAAGCCCTTTTATCTATTGGCGCTTCTCTAAGGAAAATGTATTTTAAACTTTTGTGTATGTTTTTTAAATAAATATTTTGAACTATAAACTTTTCCTCTTCCTCAGAAGACATTTCTCTCCGTATCAACTTGATGAATGCTGACTCAGCCTGTATGGGCTAAATGAGCAGGGAAGAAAGGATGAATGAAGGGCGGCAGCAGCAGGTCGATGTGTCCTGTGGGCTCATTAGACCTTTCTGCTGGCATAAATGATATTTGATAGGTTATCTCCATCCCTGTGTACACAGCAGATACCTGTGCAGAACTGACGGAATGAATGGGCAGTATCTCTTTAAAAAACCTTTTTAAATCAAACGAGGAACAAGTTTTCTCTTAATTGTGTGGTTTTTCCAAAGTTTGTTTTCTTTAAAACCAGGTGAACGTTAACAGAGTTGTGTGGCATCTTTAAAAAGTAAAAAAAAAAAAAAACATCTTTGTCATAGTAAATTTATATAAGCATTAATATCCTTGCAGAAATCACAGATTATTGTAGAATATAAACATTTAAAATTGGTTAAAGAAATTTGTTTTAATTTAAAAATCATGGAAAAAGAAATGAAATTATAACCATATTAGCCAAACCTCTATGGCGATATATGATTTGAGAATGACTCTCAGCTACTACCACACTGAACCTTAGCTCAATATAAACCTGACTGACTTATTACATCTTTTTACAATTACTTGACTTTGGCAGCCATCTTGAATAGGATTAGGCTCCAAACATTGATCTGATGTAGATACACACCCAATTTTGCTTTATGAGTATCATTACATCCAGTGGTTCATTAGATATTTTGCTAACAAACCGTTAACTAAATATTAATGGCAAAGTTTGAAGATGTCAATTGGTATAAACGGGATGACGCTCAGCCACCACCTCATCAAATTTTGGCTCAAAATCTACAATTAAAGCCATTTTTTGTGTGTTGACTAACCTAAATTAGCTGTGGCAGCCATCTTTAGGTGGTTAACTTCAAAAGGTACTGAGTTGCAGTTGTGTTTTCTAATGATTACTTTTTAAACTTTTAAGATTCATAGAGTTCATGAAATAATTAACACAAAACTTCAACGTAGCTTAGCCGATATGCTAAAATTTTAACTTATTAGTTTAAAAATAATAAACTTTGTTATTATTGAATGAAAATAATGTTCTTTGGCGAGCAAGTAGATTATATTTTCATAATTCTAATATATATATATATATTTT